GATAAACCAAGATTAAATTCTAGAGTGGAGGGGCCTCCCTGGTGGCACAGTAGGTTGAGCGCAGTGCTGTGAAGCTGTCCGCAGCCTCTAAAGCGTGGGTTCGATTCCTGGCCAGCCAGGGAGATACCCACACAGCGCGGCAGACCTCTCCTGTCTCGCCCGCTGCTCCCCTCAGCAGTGTATTTCTGTTGTCTGCTGTTCTGCTCCCCGCTCTGTCTCTGATGAATTCTCTCGCCCCTCCCACTCCTCTGACCTGTACCCCAGTTCTTGTATAAATAAGTAAATCTTAAAAAAATAAATTCTAGAGTGGAGAGGTACAATAACTGGAATGAAAATTTCCCTTGAAGGATTCAAAAGCAGATTTGAACAGAGAACGAACCAGTAATTTTAAAATAGAGAAATTACTGAGTCTGAAGAATAGAAAGAAAAACAATTGAAGTAAACAGAACCTAAGAGAACTGAGGGATACCATCAAGCAAACCAACATACACATTGTAGCAGTCCCAGGAGGAGAAAGAAAAAGACAGCAAGATTATTTGAAGAAACAATGGCCCAAACATCCCAAATTTCATGAAAGACATGAACCTGAACATCTGAGAAGCTCAACAAACTTCAAGTAGGAGTAACTCAGAGAAACCCGCACAGAAACACTTATAATCAAACTGCTCAAAAACAGAGAAAGAGAAACAGTTGAAATCAGGAAAAAATAATGACTGGTCACATACAAGGTGTACTCAAGGAAATAGCTGAAGATTTCTCATCAGAAACCAGAGAATAGAAGGCAGTGAGAGAAGAGTTGTTCAGCATATGAAGGAACAGGAATCCTTGTGTCATGGTGGTGAAATTGTAAAATGGTATAACCACTGTGGAAAACAATAAAGGGTTTCTAAAAAACAAACAAAATTTAAAACATGGAAGCAACCCAAGAATCTATTAATATATGGATAAGCAAAATATGTGTGTGTCATCTCCCTATCATCTATCTATCCATCCATCCATCCATCTTTTTTTTTTAAGATTTATTTTTTATTTATACAAGTGCTGGGATACAGGCCAGATGCGCAGGAGGGTGAGAGGATTCACCAGAGAGAGTGGGGAACAGAACAGGCAGACTGACAAAACACAACGCTGAGGGGAACAGTGGGCGAGACAGGAGAGGTCTGCCGCGCCACGTGGGATTCTCACCAGCTGGCCATGATCGATACTTGAATACATTGTTATGTACTAAAATGGATGCATGTAAATCAAACAGAGATTTATAACTTTATGAATGGAGTTTTAATTTTGCAAGATAAAAAGAGTTCTGGAGATGATGGTGGTGTTGTTTGTACAAATACATGAAGGTATTGAATTCCACTGAACTTTTCACTTAAAAATTGCTAAGATAGTAAATTTTATGTTAGCTTTATTTTAACTTAATAATAATAATAAAAAGCCTTAAGAAAAAAAAAGAATAAAGATGGGCTGCATAGAAAAGGCTCTCATTGCACCAAAAACAACCTATTTAGAACTAATCATTGACCTATACAACTTGGAACCACAGATGACCACCCACTGTGTCTATAACATTCTTTGAAAAGTATTTGAAGAATATAATTTTCTGGGAAGTGTAAAAGCTGATTAAAGAACAAATCATCATATGTGACTCTTATTTTAAAATTCTTATTGGCAATGGGAAGTAGCAAACCAATTCAGAAATTGTCAAATAAAAGAGGAAAGTTGTGTCTAGCTCCATTTTCCAACACCCTAAATCCTGTGCCCTTTTTGCAGACTATAATTTGCATTCCTAACTCCTCAAAGTCATTGCAGCCAAGTAGTATGTCCTGCCATGGAAGGCTTGTGACACTCTTCCCAGGCTGGCCACAATGATGGAGCCTCCCAAATGACTGGGTTCCTTGATTATGCTGCCACTGGGCCTATGGGTCTAATTAGGTTCAGAAACACCTTTAATTATCATGGCTTAATAGAGTCAACTAATGACTGAGGAACGTGATTACTAGTGTACACCAAATTTACTCTCCTTCATGCCTCATCTTTACAATGCTTATCACCTATCTTCAGATCTAGCTTTTTTGTTGTCTTTTTTTACTATGACCACATAATTCTACAGAAGGTAAGATGAATGATATTGATGGTATTTATTGTAGAAATAAACACAATAAAGTTTCATTGACTTGTCTTTAAAGGTGGCACTCAAACACATCATATTTTTTAATTTTTTAATTCTAAAATGAATTTATTGGGCCTCCATGGTGGCACAAGGGGTTAGGCACCAGCACCGCGCTATGAAGCAATCAGAGGCCTCTGCAGCGCAAGCTCGATCCCCGGCCTCCCTGGCCGGCCAGGGAGCAACCCACATGGCGAAGCAGACCTCTCCTGTCTCACCTGCTGCTTCCCCTCAGCAGTGTATTTCAGTCAGTCTGCCTGTTCTGTTCCACGCTCTGTCTCTGGTGAATCCTCTCACCCTCCCCACCCATGCATCTCTGGCCTGTGCCCCAGCTCTTGTATGCATAAATAAATAAATATTTTTAAAAAATGAATTTATTCTAAAACTCTTAAGTTAGGTTATTCACAATTTTTTTCAGTATTTACAAGATCTCACTAAATATATTTTGATTATAGGATTTACCAGATAAATACACATACATCAGTAAACATATACATTTACTATATCTTATAATATTTATAAGACATATACACCTATATCATAAATTCGTACCCCAGACCTTTAGGGAACTTATGGGGCATTTTTGTAAGTTAAATGCATATTTTATTGTGAAAAAATGACCCTGATTTTCATTTGTTCTCAAAATGGTTTGGGACACCCCTTATAGCCACCAAACCAAAATGGTTAGAAACCTATGTCTACAACTATACTGTGCAATACTATAGTCATTAGACACTTGTGACTTACTCAGAACTTGAGCACTTGAAATATACCAAGAATTGACATGGGCTATAAGTATAACATACACACAAGATTTTGATGAATTAATGTGAAAAATAAAATGCAAAATATCTCAATTATTTTTGCACTAATTGCATACTGAAATAATAAAGTTTGGGATAGAGTGGGTTAAATGAAAAATATTAACATAGATTTCACCTGCTTCTTTTCGCCTTTGCTAACACAGTTATTAGCAAACTTTAAATTCCATATGTGATTCATACTGTATTTGTATTAGATAGCACTGATTTGGGAATAGCCAAAGCTTGGTCACAAGCCAGTTGCTGAGTCTAGCAGGTTGACAGTTGTGAAAGTTTTTAAAATAGTTCCAAAATTGGATTCTGAGAGATTTTAGCAAAAATGTAAGCCTATGTCAAAACACAAACTGGATCAAAAACATAGGTTTAAGCCACTTTCATCCAAATATTTCAGCATAATTTCCTTTAAAGAATCATAAACTTGGAAGATATTTGATATCAACTCTGAACTACTGCACTCTACATTAACAGATAATTCATGTAGAGCATTTTGATAAGAACTTTAAGCCAATTATGACTTAAAGCAAACTTAAACTTAGTACATCAATAAAATGTATCATAAGGTACATTTTAACAGTCTAGAAAATATTATAGAAACATTCACAAAGAAATATCTCCAGGGAAGCATGAATTTAGATTCTAATTTGTCTTCACCAACCTTTCCATGGTATGTGTTATCACCCCATTTTATAGATGTGGAGGCACATTCAAAAGGTTGAGTCACTGACTTTTGAGAACAAGAACTCTGTCTTGTTCTCCACCGTATACTTGGAGACTAGTACTCCACCTGATACACAATAGATACTCAGTAAAAAACTGCCATTGTTTGATGAGAAACAGTTCACTGATTCCAACGCATGGTTTTTCTCCAAAGAGTGCACTATTACAACATAGCTTTTTGTAATACCACACGCTGAGAGAAAGAAGTGAACTTAATTATTTAAATTCTCACCATCAGGGCCTCCCTTGTGGCACAAGGGGTTAAGACGCAACCTATGAAACTTATGAAGCTGTCCGCAGCCTCTGCAGCAGGAGTTCAATCCCCCAACCGGCTGGGGAAGAACACACATGGCACAGCAGACCTCTCCTGACTCACTTGCTGCTCCCCTCAGCAGTGTATTTCAGTCAATCTGCCTGTTCTATTCCCCACTCTGTCTCTGGTGAATCCTCTCACCCCCACACCTCTGGCCTGTACACCAGCTCTTAATAGGCATAAATAAACAAATCTTAAAAAAAAAAAAAAAGACGTTGTTTAAAAAAATAAATAGATTTTCACCATCAATCAACAGACTATAAATATGTTGACTCTGCTACAAAATGCGTGTGTATTTTTTGAAAAGGAACTAATGTTAAAACCATACTTCCTGGTTCCAAAACATTACAAGTGCCAGCTTGACTGGATATCACACTTAATCGGTTGGACAGACATTCAAAGGATTAAAAAAATGGGTCATCTTTATCCCTCATCTAAAATAATACAGCACAGTGCCTGCTCTCTAGCTCGGTTGCTTTGTTCTCCCCTTTCACCCCAATACACTCCCCTAATTCCCCATTTCCTTACCCTAGATTTCAGCTGCTACTGCCCTCCAGCCTTGCTCTGGAAGAATACACGTTCAACAACATTGCTCTAAAATGCCACTAAAAGTTTTTACTTGTATGAAGGGGTTACAAGCAAACACTGGATCTGAACTCTTTCGAGCTATGTATGAAGTCATCTAGGAATCCAGGTCCAGAAGCTGAATTCCTCCAGCAACTCCTGTTCAATTCAACTTCAGAGCAGGACCTCAGGCTGAGGCATCTGCCCTGGCCGCCCCTCCAGCCCCGAGGCGCACCCACATACCACAGCAGGGCGGGTCTCCGCCGCTCCCCAAGCCTAACCAGAAGACTTGCAAGGAGGTCGCACCCGGTCCCTGTCCCTGCTGCGCCAAACCCTACAACACTTCGTACGCCTGCCCAGGACGACAAAACAAACACTCCCTCCCCGATCTTGCCCAGGCACGATCGCTCCAATTTACCGTCTTGTACCACCAGCTCGCGAAAGCCATGGCGACAGACGGTTTGCTCTGAGTCGCGCAACAGAGGACCCAGCGTGGACGCGGTGAGCTGTGCGGAAGGCGCGGGGCTGGCACGCCGAAAGCCCTGGACCTGCCAGGCACTGACCTGGGCTAGTCTTGGAGCTGCCAGGTGGGCGGGGGCCCGGGGGCGGGTCTGGAAACAGGCCCCGCCCTCCCGCCAGGTCCGCCCCGCCCGGTCCGCCCCGCCCGCCCCGCCCGAGTTGGTTCAGGGCTGGTTCGGGAAGATGTTTTACTCCGGGCAGCCACTCCCTGCGGCCCCGACATTACAAAGAACGCAGGATCCCAGAATCCAGTGAACCCCCCATCCATTCAGGGAGTCCCCAATAAGTTCTACTCCCTTTTCATCCCCATTCTTTTTCACCTACGGCTCACCAGCCAACTCTTCCCGCCTTGGATCACCCTCTGTCCGCGCCGCGCCGCGCCTAGCGGACTTGGCCCGGGTCTGGGAATCCCGGGACACCTGCCCGGAGGCGGGTAATGCACCCCGCGTTTCCCCAGGCGGGGAAGGGCCTCCGAACCGCAGGCCGGGCAGACTACGCCCAGAGGGGGCGGCCCCCCAGCTCGGGGCCCGGGTCCTCCCTGCGCCCGCCCTGCGCCCCGGCAGGTGGGACACTCACCTCCTGGGTGTGGCGGGCGGCCGCGCGCCGGGGCCGCGGGGAAGCAGCGGGCTTCTGGCGGGGCTGGGACATCGCGAGGCCGCGACGGACGCTGCCTCTGGGAGCTCGCAGCCCGGGCTGGAAGCGAAGGGGGAGCGCCCGTGAGGCAGCTTTTCCGACCCAGCCCGGAGCCCGCGCGGGGGCTCCTCCTCGTCTGCTGGGCCCTCCCCTTCCTGCCCGGAGCTGTAGCGGTCCCGGCTCGCGCCGGCAACTTAACACTCTCGGCCCCTAGTCTCCATCCAGGGACCCCCCCCCCAACTGCTGGGCCCCCAGTTGGTCACCGGGAGGAGGGGCTAGAGGTAGGGGGGATCCTCCTTCGACTTGCGGGATCTGAGCTCGCCGTCGGGCTGCGGGAGAGTGAGACCCGGGCGCGGCCAGCTTTTGCGTCGACCCTTCCCCTATGAATTTCGAGAATTTAGACAAGTTCTCTGCAGTCTGGCAAAGTTTAGCTTCGAGAGGAATTTGCTAACTTAAATCTGGGCCTAGCCTAGACTGTCCAGAAACATCACAAAAACAAATGTGTGTGTGTGTGCGTGTGTGTGTGTGTGTTTACACGTGTGCGCGCCTGTGTTTGTCTTGGTGACATTTTACTTTGGGGTTTTTAGAGTCAAACTTGAACTTTCACTAATGTTTTTGGGGGAGGAAACCATAGGCTGATCCAAACCGAAGACCCTTCCCAAGACGTCATCCCTTCTAGCTCTTCTGGAGCTTGGCCGTGTTCTTTTAAGAGGCTGGATTGCTTTTGTCTCTGACTCTTCTTAAACAGGACTTCCTGGTTTGGGGGTGACAGTGAAATGGCACAATCAAGACTGGAAAACGGTTTTCTGGACAGACCATCAGCCTGCGGTGGCTGCCAATGTGTGCTCTGTTAACTCCACAATGGCATTGACGCCTTGGGACTCAGTCAGGGTCGCTGCTCCCAACAGAGTTGTGGTTTAAACCATTGGAGGGGGGCCAGGTTTTAGGGGAAAATTTGTCACGCTCTCTGGAGCTCTGCAGCATGGAAATGTTTGCCCCATCCTCTTACTTTTGAGGATTCAGATGTGCCCTTAAGCAAGGGAAGGCTAGGTACCTCCTGCATTCATTCTTAAAGGGAAGAGCTTGGAGGGGGGATTTAAATGTATTTCCTCTTAAAGAGTTTCAGTTAATATCTATGTATCTAGTTTCCATCAAACAGGCTTTATACATAAAAATGAAATGAATTGGATATGGGGTGTATTATTGTCCAGTAAAGAAAAATTGATTGGTAGCATCATCTATATTCATGAATGGGGGAAATATGTCATAAGCCTGAAAAAAAAATAGTGATTTTTAATTGTGACCATAAACGTACAGTAATTTAAACATACATAAAAACTTTAGGAGTGATGTGGTAAGCAGCCTTATCCCCAGGCCCAAGAACTGGAATCCACTCCTTACTCCAGAGTCTGGAGAGCCTACTTTCAGGTTTTAGATCCCTGAGAACATTATTCTAACTCTGGAAGAAGTTTTAATGATTAACACTTGAAGTATTTTCTAAATGTATTTAAAAATCTATTTTTTTAAAGATTTATTTATGCATACAAGATAAGAATCGTAAACATAAACTTTTTTTTTTCAATATTTCTCAAAAACTTCCTTTCAAAGCACTGTGCATAAGTACATATGTGCTTCAGGAGTTTGGGGTTCTGTAGGTTTGGGTGATTATAGGAAAAGAAAGAAGAGGTTTCAGCAGGTTGGCTGGCTGGTAGGATGTGAATAAAAAAGAAAGGGTGGGGGGCTGTCCAGGAAATAAAAAGAAAGGTGCTTGCCCTCCTGGCTGGAGTTGCTGGTTCAAATTCAGGATTCATCGATTCATTATCAACTTACTGTTTACTGAGCTCCCACATTGCGCTGCTTGGTAGAGTTGATACCAAAACCTTAAGACATAATGACCAAGGGGCACCCAGGACCCTCTAACTCACATGAGCGTCTGGCCTCTTTGCACACAAGACAAAGGAGACTCTTAATGTGACAGAACTTAATAGAATTAGTATACAAGGAGAAGAGAGGAAGGAAGAGTATTCTGAATAAAACACCTCAAATTATCCATTCCCTTGTTCATAAATTCCCAACCAAAGAGGATCAGTCCCAGGCAAGCAGGGCCACTGAGACCTGAAAGCTTGCCACACATCTAAGTCACCTTCTGGCAGGGAACCATAGGAAGGGAGTTGTGAAGCAAGTCCCAGAAAGCTGGGACAAAAAGAGTAAAATCAAAGTACTAATCAAGGTAATGGCTACCATTGTCAGCTTCCCCATGTGTTTCTCACCCACATATCTCCTTCAAATTCCTCACACAAGTCCATAGCCAAGAGGTAATCATACCCTTCTTTGTGACATATCTCCCCCTGAGCCTACCTGCCTACCATGTGATATAGCTTCATCTGGTATTCAGTTCTGCCCATCCTTAAGTGGGGTGGGGAACATGGTACCCTAACAAACTTAGCTGTCAGGTTTTGTTTAAAAATGAGAACTCACATACAGAACAATTGTGAGCTAACCAGTATTGATGGTCATAAGTAAAGAATTTTAGTGGAGCTGGAGAGTGTTGTTTCCTTTCTCTTAGAGTCAGCAAGGAGTTATTGCAATTTTGATACCATAACCAGCATTTGAGCATCTTGGGGAAGTTCTTTTTAAGTATGTATGGCAAGTTTTGCTATATTTTTACTTATACATCTTGTTAGTATGTTTATTCATTTATTTAGTAAGTAAAGAAAGAGCTGCTATGTGTTCAATTCTGCAGAGGTACCAGGGACCTCCTGCATCCAGAGATCCATAGTTCAGGAGGAAAGACAGACAAATAAATAAATCCAATACCTCCTGAACAGAGGTATTCTGAGAGTGCTGAGGATCCCCAGGGGGTGGCTTCTCATTCTGGATTGTATTTTTTTTTTTTTTTAATTTTTGCATAGAAGAACTGGAGTGTAGGCCAGAGGTATGGGGGGGAAAGGGGGAGGAATAAGAGGATTCATCACAGAGCAGGGAGCAGAACAGGCAAATTCACTGAAATACTAATGGGAGCAGCAGATAAGACAGTGGAGGTCTGCTGGGCCATATATAGGTTAGCTTGCTGGCCTGAGACCTAACCCCTAGGCTACCAGGGATGCCCAGATTCTCATTCTCAACAGGGGGGGACAGGCTGCAGAGAGGAGGGAACTCCCACTGCTTCCTCTCCCACGTTTGACTTGAGTTGAAACCCCAGCTGAATAATCTCCATGTTTTATCTTCTCCTCTTTATCCCCATCACTATTGTAGCTGTTCAAAAACTCATCACTTCTCATCAGGAAACATGTAAAATTAGATAAAGACAGGATGGAATCCAGGGAAGTCGGTGGAGCTGCCCTGCGGCAGAGGAAGCTAGTAGAGAAGCGGATGCCAAAGGCTGAGGGAGGAGGGCTTTCCAAATGGAGCAGTGGTTCACAATATAAAATATCACCCAAAGTGCATGAGTGTCCAATTGATCTGATAGCTCTGAGGTTTGGGGAACCAGCCAGTGGTTACATTGAGGAGGAGGCAGTTTTTTTCTGAGGTACCAAGTTAGGATAATTCCCTCTTTGATTGTATTTCATTCTACACTATCCCACACTCCTGGAAGGAAAGTTACCCCCAGATAACCTGAACCCACCCCGGCTGACATTTGAGTGTCTTCTAGACCCCTGAAATATACTTGTCCTGGCTGCTTCAAGATTTTCAACCAAGTATGCTCCACTCCACAGTGATGTGTTCCTGAGGAAACCAGATTGAAAAAACAACCTTTATAAATAAGTAAAGACTAATTCGCCAAATAAGCAAGGCCTGCCGGGGCCTCCTTTACCATGTAACTTACATGTATCTTAGCAGAAACTTCATACTTCTGTGTGTTGAATTATCAAAAAAAAAAAAAAAATGGTTTCCATGGTGAAGTTCTGTGCATGCTAGCCGATGGGAGAATATGTTTAGACTGCAGGGGACGATGGTCTGAATTAGCAGCACATGAAGAAGGTTTTAGTTTTCATTGCTACCAAAAAAAAAAAAATGTGTTGCCCCCAAACTCCTAGGTTGAAATCCTAAACACCAATGTGATGGTCTCAGTAGGCTGAGTCTTTGGGAGGTAGATTCAGGCAGGAGTACACAGCTCTCCTGAATGAGATTAATGCCTGGGAGACCTCCACTCCCCCTCCTACCAAGTGAGAGTAGAAGTCTGCAACTCAGAAGAGGGCCCTCTCCAGACCATCTGAAACCTGATCTTTGGCTTCCAGTCTCCAGAACTGTGTGGAAAAATTTCTGTTTATAATCTCTCCAACCTCTGGTGATGTGTGACAGCAGTCTAGTCGAACTAAGACATTGTGCTTCTCAAGTCACATTGGGTTTGTGCATGGTTGGAATAGAAAGG